GCGCGCCGCAAACTGCTCCAGCTGCTTCCGCAAGCCTTCCGGCGGCCCTGCCAGGAAGTACTCGATGCGCGGCGCCCGCATGAGCAGGAGGTCCTCGTGGCGCGTGGCGCGCGAGAGCAGGACGTAGAGCTCCAGCCACCAGTCGTCGTCCTCCTTCTTGCCGTTCCCCACCTCGTGGCGGCCGCAGTCCAGGATCACGCCTTGGCGATGTCGGCCGAGGGAGCAGCGCGCCGGGCAGCCGACGGCCCAGGGCGAGAGTCCACAGACCGAGGAGGTCTGGCTGCGGACTGCTCGCGCCCAGCAGGTCTGGCCGTAAACTGCCCCAGAGCGCTGTTCCCTCGCCCCGTCGCCTTCGCGCATGGTGCGCCCCTGGCGCGCCACCGTGGTGATGACTCTGCCGTGCGAGAAGGGGAAGCCCGTTCGGGTGACCTTGGAGGTGCGAAAGGTGAACGGCTCCGACGCCAGCTTGCCCGTGAGGTCCCCCGTGAGGCTGTCGTCGTGGCGCTCGTGGTCGTCCACGAAGGGCGCGCTCGCGTATTTCTCCATGCGCACCCAGAACCCCATGCGCCATGCGCCATGCGAGTTCCGCATCTGGGACCTTAGGTGGAGCTCCCTATGGAACCACAAAGCGTGTGAGGGGTGTGCCAAAATGGGGCGGCGGCGCCATGCGAGTTCCGCCGCTGGGACCTTAGGTGGAGCTCCCTATGGGGCCACAAAGCGTGTGCGGGGTGTGCCAAAATGGGGCGGCGGCGCCATGCGAGTTCCGCCACTGGGACCTTAGGTGGAGCTCCCTATGGGGCCACGAAACGTGTGAGGGGTGTGCCAAGCTGGGGCGGCGGCGCCATGCGAGTTCCGCCACGGGGACCTTCGGTGGAGCTCCCTATGGGGCCACGACGCGTGTGAGGGGTGTGCCACAATGGGGCGGCAGCGCCATGCGAGTTCCGCCACTGGGACCTGGGGTGGAGCTCCTTACGGGGCCACGAAACGTGTGAGGGGTGTGCCAAAATGGGGCGGCGGCGCCATGCGAGTTCCGCCACTGGGACCCTAGGTGGAGCTCCTCATGGGGCCACGAAACGTGTGAGGGGTGTGCCAAAATGGGGCGGCGGCGCCATGCGAGTTCGCCACTGGGGCCTTCGGTGGAGCTCCTTACGGGGCCACGAAACGTGTGAGGGGTGTGCCGAAATGGGTGGTGGGGAGGCATGCGGACCCTGCCACTGGGGCCTTCGGTGGAGCTCCCTATGGGGCCACGAAACGTGTGAGGGGTGTGCCAAAATGGGGCGGCGGCGCCATGCGAGTTCCGCCACCGGGACCTGGGGTGATGCTCCCTATGGGGCTTCGAAACGTGTGAGGGGTGTGCCAAAATGTGGCGGCGGCGCCATGCGAGTTTCGCAACTGGGACCTCAGGTGGAGCTCCCTATGGGGCCACAAAGCGTGTGAGGGGTGTGCCAAAATGGGGCGGCGGCGCCATGCGAGTTTCGCCACCGGGACCTGGGGTGGAGCTCCCTATGGGGCCACGAAGCGTGTGAAGGGTGTGCCAAAATGGGGCGGCGGCGCCATGCGAGTTCCGCCACTGGGACCTTAGGTGGAGCTCCTCATGGGGCCACGAAACGTGTGAGGGGTGTGCCGAAACAGAGACATGCGGAGAGCAAAAGCCAGGATGGGGGAGGAGGGAGGAGGGGGAGGAGGAAGGAAGGAGACGCGGGGCACCGTCTCTTCAAAACGAGGACCCAACACCACAGGATGGTTTGGAAAAACACGCACGAAACCGCAAACAAGAAACACAGGAAATGGACGTCCGAACGATGGCCAGAGAAGCGAACCCAAACCTCGCAGACATCTGGCACGCTGTGCACTCCTGCGGCAAGCCAGCAGGGGGACGGCGGATCTAGTGTTGAGTCGGGCGTGTCCCTCTACAGGAGGAGTATTGAAAGATACTCAAAAATAGTCTGGGGACGATTGTTTGACTGTTTTTGGCAATGCTTACATATCTTTTGACTATTTTCAATTTATCCTCCAAGACCCGCCTGTGAGAAGACGTGCCCGACATAAATCTAGTGGCTTCGGCCTATCCTGCCACCGTGCTTTGGTGGTGGACGAGAGGCCCCTTGAATGTATATATATGTACATACATACGTAGTTATATGTTTATGTATATGCATATATATACATATATATATATTTATCTATATCTATATCTATATCTATATATATATATATATATATATATATATATATATCTATGTATATACATATATATATATATATGTCTCTCTTGGGGTGCCTCTCGGAGGCCTCTTGGAGCGCCCTGACGGCCTTGTTCATGAGCCTGTTGGTTGCCTCCGGAGGCATCGGTCTTGGGGCGGAGGGCTCGACATGTCAGTTCGTGTTCCCCCTCGCGGACCGTGTTTCTTGAGGGCTTGTTGGGTTGTATTGGGGCCGTCTTGGGGAGGTCTTTGGGGCCCCTCTGGGGTCTTCGTAGAGCGATGGAAAACCGAAAAGACGAGAACGCCACAATCTAGCAAGCACCGGTGGAGTCATGACTTCGTCTCTTCGGGTCCTCTTGGGGGTCCTCTTGGGACCCTGACGCATCCTGGAAGCCTCTCCGTCCGTCTTGGAGCCACCTCGGGCGTCTGGGATTTAATTTGCCCAAAGAGGGCCAACCTGGCCAGAATATTACCCAAAAGGGGAGGGAAAGCGGGGAGCGCATCCCCCCCCTCCCACGGGACCCCCCCCCCCGAGATTCCAATTCTGGATCCCCGGAGACCCTCCCCGCGCCGCCCCCCCCCGAAGCCCCCCCAGTATCCCTTCCCCCCTCGGCGTGGAAGGGATCAGAGGGATCGGCTTGTAGAGCCAAAGGTGGCCGCGAGGAGAGGGGAAGGAACTCTGCGCAGGCAGTTTCTCCCAAGACCACCCTTGGACGACCGGCCCAGCACTCCCCCTGACACACGCGGAAGGGGAGGGCGATTTTTCCGCGTGGTGGTGCTCGATCTTTCTCCTTCAGGGGCGCCCACGTAAGAGGTACGGCAAGCGTGGTAGTTTGTAAGCTCGGGTTGAACGTCTTCTTGGTACAGCGGATTCTGAAGGCAACCCTGAAGCTTCGACTAGACTAGAAACTCGAAGCACACCGTCACGTTTTCCATGCGATGACAGTGAGACTGATGACGTGTACATCTCTCTACGACATGACATTGGCGTTCGACGCGGCCACAGCGCGAGGAGTTGGGAGGGAGAACGCGGAGATAGAGAGACAGAGAGAGAGAGAGAGAGCATAGTGGATGAAGGATAGGAGGAGCTGAGCGATGAGGGGCGAGGCGTGGCGAGCATACGAGCACACGTCAAGGTGTTTTTTTGTTGCAGAAGCGTGTGGATGAGCAAGTTACGCAAAAGGAAGTCGATGCCACATCCAGAGCCATGGGCGATTGAGTACGAACTCGTCGCGATGAATCGGATCTTGAGGTTTCCCTTTTCATAGGAGCAAGGCTGACGCAGGTCAGCCGCGCTCAGAGGAGGGAAGAAGGAGGGGGGGTGAATGGGAGGGGGAAGGGCTTCTTACAAGCACCCATACTTCTTGGAAGGCGCCGGCCTTGCCTACGGATGGAGGGCAGGCAGCCTCCAAGACGCAGCCTCCTCCTACGAAGCCTCCCCCCCTCCCTTCACCCCCTCGTGCACAGCCGCCGAGGAGGGCACAGGAGAGCGACGAGAGGCCCGCCTCCGTGCCCAGACCCCCCCCCGGCCCTCCTTGTCCCCGTCCTGCGTTGCCCCCCGCCGCAGGCCCACGAGGACGGGCCGGACGCCCTGGACCTGGCGGCGCTCGAGGCGGCAGCCCGGGGACAGGTCCGGAGGCAACTCCTGGGAGGCCAAATTCTGATTTTGCCCTGGTGCGAATTCCCGCGCACTCCCGCTTAATCCGGCTTAATCCGGCTAAATCCCGCTCACTCCGGCTGAATCCCGCCGCTCAATCCGAGGCCCTTTCCGGCGTAAGAGCCCCCCAGTGGGGCTTAATCCTCCTCAATCTTTCCGAGGAGAACCTCCCAGCAGTTGCCTCAGGTCAGGGAGGCCCTGTAGCTGCCGAGCAGCGCGAGGCAGGAGGACGGCGGGGAGGAGCAGCACGAGCCGGAGGACGGAGGAGGAGGAGCTGCTGCCGGAGGTGCGGGCAGGGGCAGCGCGAGCAGCAGCAGGCCTTCACCAGCCTCGAACTTATCCCTATCCCTAAGATTGACACGCCCTTAGGGATGCACCCTCAGAAACTGAGGAAATCCCTAAGATCGCCATCGTGATGAGGCGATACCCAACATAGGGATAGGGATCTGTTCCATGCTGGTAAGGCTCTGCCCTCCGCGACATCCCGGATCCCCCCCACCCCGCCGCAGCCGAGGCGGCCGTGCTGGCGCACTGGGCGCCCGGCGAGGCTGCCGCGCCGCTGCCGCTGGCGCCTCGGCCGCCGGAGCGGCCGGGCAAGCGGCCAGGGCCCCTCGCCGAAGGCGGCGGCCAGCAGTCAAGCAGTGGCGAAGCGTCCCGGCTCGCCCATAGCCCCACCAAGCAATGTTCTAAGAACCTTTTGTGATTCCCGCGAAATGTTCTTAGAACATTTCTTGCTGGGACTGTCTTGTTTTAACACATCGGGTTTATGTTCTAAGAACATTGTTTTTGTTCTTAGAACACTTTAGGGTTCTAAGAACACTTCGTGGTATGACTATAGGAATGCCGGGACGGTCGGTCCCTGCTCAAAGCAGGGGGCCATCCGGCGGCGAGCGAGGGGGGGAAGTGCGGAGGATGCGTCATCGGGGGGGCGATGAATGGGGAGGGGGGGGGGGATAGGGCCCTATGGGAGCACCCTTTTCCCCCACCCCATTTGTCGCTCCCCCATTCGTTCGCGCCCAAGAAGTGGGAAGGAGCAGGCCTTCCCAGAAGGCGCCAGGGCTTCTCGGGGAAGGCTTAGACATTGTTGTGTCTTCGGGGAAGGCTTAGACATTGTCTGCGGCTTTTTATATCCTTCTGGGAAGGACCGCCCCCCTTATCACTTTCCCCCAGTCTCATCGCCGAAGCCAGGGACCATTGACCATCAGGGGTGGGGGCGGACTTTTTTCACCATTGCAGCAGAGCGTTGCGGCGAGGTGAAGGAAAACGACGAGGGGGAGGGGGAGAGGCATGGGGGGGAGACAGCACGGCGGCCGTCCCAGAGGAGCCCCGGCTAAGGGAGCGGACACACTGTGCAGTCGTAATCGTGGTCGTCGTCGTCGTCGTCGTCGTTGTTGTGCGGCGGGTCCCGCGGAGAAATTAGTATCTTCCATCATTGATGGGACCCCAGTCCGTCAACAAGGGCGTCGAGAAGATCATCAGGTTCCACTTTTGGGGGAGGTTCTAACGACCTATAGCGATTAGCGCGAGTCTCGGTCACGTTCGGCGTCTCCGGCTCTGGCACTTCAGCACCACCATTGGCGCCGGCGCCGGCTTTGGCAGCACCAGCGCAGGCAGTAGGTCTTGCAAGAGAGCTGGCACCAGCACTGGTATTGGCACGAGCACTGGCATAAGCACTGGCACCGCTGCCCGCGCCGCCACCGGCACCTTTCTTATCATTCGCATCGGCATTAGCGCCGTCATCGGCACAGGCACCGGCACTGGCACCATGTGCACCGCCAGGCTTGGTGTCATTTCCGCCAACCCCGCTTCGATCCAGCTTTTTCTGTGCTCGTTTGCTTTGGTTGTCTCATGCTTCTGCACGCTGCTGCGGTGCTTGTGGTTCGGCTGGCGGTGTCCTGTGAGCGTTGTCGAAGTGTTATTCAGCATCCTTGTATTGGTCGTTGTCGAGGTCGCCGTGTTTCTTGTCGTGACGATGGATGGCGATCGTGGCATCGTTGTCGTTTTCATCGTCGTCGCGGTCGTCTTCGTCGCGGTAGTCGCTTTCGCCCCTGTTTTCGTCGTCATCGTTGTCGTTGTCGTTGTCGTCTCCGCCCTCGTCGTCGTAGTCGTCCTGGTCGTCGTCGTCGTCGTCCTTGCCCTCGTCGTCGCCGTCGGCTGTCGTCGTCGTCGTCGTCTGTCGTCGTCGTCGTCTGTCGTCGTCGCCGTTCTTCTCGTCCGTAGTAATTTTGGTTCCAGCCATTTAGGCTCAAGTCCAGCTTGCCCATGACGTGCGTGCAATCACCGACCTGGTCTTTCACCATGCCGAGCGGGACAGTCAAGAAGTTTATCGATGACACCTGATGGCGGCGTCGAAGACGTTTTCGTGCACCTGAGGGTGAACGGTGCGGATCGTACCGCGTACTTCGAGGAAGGTGACCAGGTGCAGTACGAATTGGAGTAGGACGACCGCAAGTGCAAGTACTGCGCCTTGTCTTGCTGTGGTCCCTGGTTGTCGGGTGGCGGCGGGAATGGCGGCGGGGTTTGCGGTGGCGGCGGCAACGGCGACGGCAGGGGCGGTGCCTACAAGGGCGGCGGCGGCGGCGATTGGTGCGGCGGCGGCGGCGGTGGCGGCTGGTCAGAGGCCACCCAAGCGGACTGCAGTGGGTAAGCCTTTTGCCCGCGCGAGAAGGATGACGCTTTTCCCAGAATGGTTTCCCCAGTGTGGTTACCCTCGGCTTCCAGTTGACCTGCACGTGGAGCTCGCTTCGCGTGTGGTCGAATGTCCTGGCCTCGTCGCCGAACGCCACATAGCGTCGCCACCGCCGCCGCCGCCGCCGTCGTCGTCGTCGTGGGCTCCCGCGCAGCTGTCAGGCTCCGCCTGCTCGCCCGCTCGAAAGAGCGCAGCCGCCTGCCCGATGGGGGCTTGCTCGCTCGGCCCGCCCACGCGAGTCTGGTCCTCTGCTTGCAGGCCCCCCCTCGGCGGCGAGCCGGGGCGCCCGCGAGAGCGGCTGGGCGCGGCCCCCAGAGGCAGGGCTGAGCCCAAACGGTGCTTTGGCGATCTCGCGGGCCGTGTTCGTTTCGGTTTCGTTTTGTGGTGAAAAGGCGGATTCGAGACAAGAGCGAGGGGAAACGAAAGCAGCACGAGAACGAAAAACCCTGTTTAGGCCCAGCCCTGCCCAGAGGCCTGTTTTTTTCCCGCCGGCCCGCCTGAGCAGCTCGTCGCCGTGCACCGAAGGAGCCGGAGGTTTTGGTCGGCGCCCCCGCGGGCGGCCTCGCGGTGCCCATTGGGGCGGCTGGGAGGCGCCGCCGCCCCAATGGGGTCGCTGTTGGACGCCGCGGCCCCCCTGGTAGACAGTGCAGTGCCGTTTTTCCCTACCTAGGCTCTGCCTAGAAGGGTTCTTATTCGGTGTGCTCAAAGGGCTGGGCAGTGGTCCCCGCCCCGGGCGGTTCCCCCAGTATCCGCCCCGCGGTTCCCCGAGTTACGTCTCCTTTGCTTAGCTTTGCTTATCTCATCTTAGCTTAGCTTATTTCATCTTAGCTTAGCTTAGGTTCATCTTAGCTCAGGTTTATCTTAGCTAGCTTACCTTCAGTGGCAAAAAAACGGCAGTGGAAAACGCCCCGGGCGGTTCCCCCGGCATCCGCTCCGCGGTTCCCCCAGTGGCGTTCCCTTAGCTAAGCGTTGCTTATCTCATCTTAGCTTATCTTATTTCATCTTAGCTTAGCTTCATTTTAGCTTAGCTTAGTTTCATATAGATGTTGCTTTCCTAGATCCTCCAACTCCTAGGTCGGGTCGCACTGGGATAATTTATACATGCTCCGCGTGCGGACCACGTATTGAAAATAAAGGGTTGATTAATACATACAAGGATGAGTTTATGCATTAGTGTATTCATAAACTAAGCATGTCTTCAACATTCCTATATTTTTCAAAATCCTATGTCTTAGAAGCTGCCCTGTAGGCTGGGCACGCCCAGGGGGGAGTGACACGGGGCGGGCCTTCTCAGCAGGCATGGGATGCCCCCGGCCCGCAGAACTGGCCGAAACCTCCCCCATAGACGCAGGGGGCTTCTCGGAAGGCCGCGGGGCCCCTAAGGAGCCCCGCCGCTCTCTGGAACGTCCTTGTCGTTTTCATTTCCCCCCCCCGTCGCTTGCCGCCGAACGGCCCCCTGCTGGCCGCCGCCCGCGGCGACGGGCCTTGGCCGTTTCCCTGGCCGCTCTAGCGGCAGAGGCGCCGCTTGATTGTTTGGAACTTCCATTCCTTACATCAAGTCCCAGTGCTTGAAAGCCGTTTCCCCCCCCCGCTCGCCGCCGATCGTTGAAAGTCAGCTTGCTCAATTCGAAGCCCCGCTCAGGCCGCCTGCTGCGGGCCGCCCGCCCCGCCGACTCGCTTGGGCCCGCCCGCCTGCTCGGGCTCGCCGGGGCTCGCCCGCCCGATTTGTCCGGCCCGCCCGCCCGCCTGCAACCCGCCCGCCTTTGGGCCCCTGCGAAGTCTGGGTGGCGTGGGAAGGGGGGGGTGGCGAGGGCAAGGCTTTCTGACAATCGAAGGTCTAGAGGTTGACACCAACACCAATATCGGCGATGTGCCTCCACCGAAGGAAGAAGATCCCGATTTCGGTGATGGTGGTAATATTCTGGCTTCCGAGGTGGTCGAAATATTACCACCAACACCGACATGTAAGATCACCTTCCCCCTGTGGAGGCAAACCCCCTGTGTTGGTGTTGGTGCCCATTTCCAGGCCTCCAACACAAGGTGTGGGGGGGTTCTCAGAAACCCTCCGTCCTCTGAGAAGTTTTCAGCGTCCCGGGGGGAAAGGCTTAAGACGCTTCCAGCAGGCGGGGGGGGTCCGAGCCTTCTGAGAAGGCCCGCCCCTCTCACATCCTCCCTGGGCTGGCCGCCGATCTTCATGTCCGAGCATGTTCTGTGAGTTGGGGGCCCAATGCTGTCGATCCCGAAGCATCGCCGCCCGTTCTTTTCCTTCGCGGGAAATTCTCGCGACGGTTCCTGCGGCGGGGTGCCGGATGCGTTCTGTGCCAGCACATGGCCAGGATTGCGTCGAGCGAACGCAGCGCCCGATGGCACGAAGGGCCATACCAGGTTCCGCTCAAGGCGGGCACTTGTCGCATTGTCTTGGGTTTCTCAAAGTAAAAGGCTGTGCCTGCTAATTGTTGCCTTGCGTGGCGGTCCCTGCGGGCTTCGGGCCCCCGTTTTTCGCTTTGTCGCTGTCCGTCCGCCGTGGTGTCTTTCCTCTGGCCTTCGCGCGCTCGCTTTTTTGTTCGGGCCTTCGTTCGGTCCCGTCGCTGTCTGGGAGTAAGCGCAGCCACCGCCATCATGTGTGCGCTCGTTCTCCAATACAGCCAGAAGATCTTGGAGAATGAGAACACGAATTTTCGAACGCTCCACTCCTTTGATCAAGGCCGCTTTCCACGGCGTCGTTGCTGGATGGTCTGGGTTACGAGAAGGGTCAGCGCTTATTTCGCCTCAGTGACGACTGATATCGAACATTCATCGCGAATTCCGCTCTTCCGTTTCCCTTCTCCCGCCGCTTGTCATCTTCGCTCGCTTGCTTGCATCTCCTGTTTCCCCCTTTTCCCCTCCCCCCCTCTCTCTCGTTTGTCCTCCTCACCCTCGTTATATCTCCTCCTTTGTCCGCCCTTTCACTCCCTCCCCCTGCCCCCGCACCCCACCCCCCCTCCCTGACGCCTCCTCCCCTCCACTCGTTACCGGTTTGAAACATATCCCTATCCTTATGTTTGACATCACCTCACCTCGATGCCGATCTTAAGGATTCCCTCAGTTTCTGAGGGCCTGCCCCTAAGATCGTCCTCGCTTTTTGCTCGCCCATCTTAGGGATGGGGAAAAGTTCGAGGCTGGTTAACTCCCCTCTCCTCCTGCTTTTTTTTTCCTCTGGGGAACCGCTGCTCGAGGCGCGGCTGGCCCCCTTTGCGGTCCTCCCCCGCGGCGGGCCCGCAGGCGGCGCCCCGAGCGCCCCCCCCCCGAAGCGCGCCGCTGCCGGCGCCGCCGCCGCAGGACGGCTCGCCCTCCGGCGCGCGGGCCTCGGCGAGGCCTGCAGGAGGAGGGGGCAGAGGCAGGAGGGAGGAGGCCGGGAGGACGGAGGGGTCGGGGGAGGATCGAGAGGGAGGGTCGGAGGAGGAGGAAGGTGCAAAAGGGTGGAGGGAGGGCGACGGGGGGGTCGAGGCAGGACCACAGGAGGATGGGGCTGCTCGGGGAGGCGGGGAGGTCGAGGGAGGCAGGACGTGGGCTGCGTCGCCACGCAAACACGGCCGGCGCCCTCGGCTCCAAGGGGTTCGTATCGACCTGCTACTTGTCGAAGTCGGCGATGCACCTCAGACGCCAAGTCTCAGTAGGACTTCTGGAGCTGGCGATGCTGATGGTCTCCACCCACCAAACCACCCCAACCCAACCCGAAGGGTCGGATTTACCCTCGATTTCTAGTGGGGGGGGATCCGGGAACATCGAAAAAACACGTATGGAGCCCATACCCCCCCCAACCCGAAATTCGGGTCTTCGGGTTGGGTTGGGGTGGTCTGGTAGGTAGTCAGATGGGATCACCGTGCTTCCTCACGTCGCCGCTTCACTTCGCCCTCGAGGCGATGCGTGTGCCCACCGTTCTTGGAGCAACGGGGCCGCTGGTGACTCACGTCGTCTTGTGCCAGGGTGTCGCTGAGGACCCATTGGCACGCCAGTGGGTTTCTTCTGTGGCCATGCCTATCACTGCTTATGCCTGGCATCTGCTTTTCGTAGTTTCCTCCTTCTCGTGCTACCCATTATGTTGTAAACATGGGTCGTATTGCTCAGCCAGCTGATTGTTGGACTGGACGCGCAGACCGCCAGGGTTAGCGTGTGGCGCGGAAGGCACGAAACTGGCTGTGCCCCTTGATCTTTGGTCATCTGGACTGGTCGCCCGCCTGCATGACGCTCATCCAGCTGTTTGTTGGACTTGCCGCGCGAACTGCCTGGTTTGGCTTGTGGCGAGGAAGGCATGGCTCTGGCTGTGCCTCGTTCTGTGGTCATCAGGGCTGGCCGCCTGGTGGCCGCCCGCCTTTCCGAGGCGCCGTCCTGCTGGCGCCTAGCTCTGCTGGCGCTTCCTGGCCTCTCCTCCCTTTCTTCTCTGTGGGCGCCCCTTGGGCATGCTGCAGCCGCGGGCCTCCTCCTCGCACCGGAAGTCCGCCTCCAGGGCGATCCCCGCGGGGCTCGCTGCCCGCAGCTGCCCGCGCGCTGTCCTCTGCGTTCGCGGGCCCTGGGCCCCTTCTGGCTCCACGGGCGGCGCCTGCCGCCTTTCCTGCCGCCGCCGCGGTCAGCCCGTCCAGGTCCTCTGTCCCATCCGCCTGGCTTGGTCCTGGAGGAGGAGGAGGAGGAGGAGGAGGAGGAGGAGGAGGAGGAGGAGGAGGAGGAGGAGGAGGACGAGGACGAGGACGAGGACGAGGACGAGGGAGGAGGAGGAGGAGGAGGAGGAGGAGGAGGAGGAGGAGGAGGAGGAGGAGGAGGAGGAGGAGGAGAAGGAGGAGAAGGAGGAGGAGCCCCCTCGCCTGCAGGGCGCTGCTGACGGGAGGAAAAGCAACTCCCAGGGGGCCCGCACAGCAGGGCCTCCCGCTCGCACTGCCGAGGTCGAGCCCGTCCATGTCGCGTCGGTCCCGGGGACGCCCCTTGGGAGCGCCCTGTAGGAGCGCCCTGTAGGAGCGCCCGCCCGGGAGCGCTCTGGGAGCGCCCTGTAGGAGCGCCCTGGGGGAGCGCCCTGTAGGAGCGCCCTGGGGGAGCGCCCTGTAGGAGCGCCCTACAGGAGCGCCCTGCGAGCGCCCCCTCCTGGGAGCGCCCCCAGGGGCGGCGCCCTCCTGGGAGCGCCCGGCTGGGCGCGCCCTGGGAGCGCATTCTGGCCGCGCTTCGTGGCGGGCGCTTTCTGGCCGCGCTGCTCGGGCAACGCTATACTGTGGTACTTCTGTATTGTAATCTGCTGGATTAAAACGTGCGGACCCCGTTTGAAGATTTCGACGCACCCAGACCCTCTAACGCGCAGGTTCACTCATATCCGTGCTTGCTCGCGCGCAGACTTGATGAATGCACAGCCACTCATATCTAGACTGGCTCACGTAAAAACTCCGACGCCCCCGCATCCGCTGGCCTCAGACCCGTGTCCACTCAGCCGCTGACCGTAACCGCATTTGCTCGCTCCCACGCGCCTTCTTCATGTTCAGAACCCACTCATGCCTAGACACACTCATACTGAAGTTCGCTCGCGTTCAGACGCACGCTCAGTGACATTCACTCCCCCAAGCTAACTCACGCCCAAACCCACTCATACCCAGGCTCACTTATATCCAGACTCATTCACGTCGAGACCCAACCCACTGTCGGTCCGCTCTGGGGCCCAATCGCGCTGAGTCACTCGGTCTCCCCCCAGGGTGGGAATCGCCGAGGGCGCGCACGGACCCCCACAGGGATCCCCACAGGGACCTCCAAACACGGGGGACCCCGCCGCCTGTCCTTGCTGCTGAGGCCGTGGCGTAGGTGATCCCGAGTTGCTGAAGGCCCCATAAAGGGGTCTTGACGCGCCCTCGGCGGTTCCTCGCTGGAAGAAGACGCACATTGAAAACATCCAACATGTGCTTCGCCGCGCAGGTGCGCTTGCCTTGGGGAAGGCGCACCGCTGACAGCGACGCGGGGAACGAAGATCCGAGATCCAGGATCGGGGAGCCGGGAACCTCGTTCCATCCTGGACCCTCGAACCTGGAACCTGGAACCTCGAAGTGCACACCCTGGAGCATTGGAAGTCGAGAGTTGGTTGACGATCCAAGATCCGGATGTTCCATCTTCGATCGTCGTGGGTGTCGACCTACGTTCGTCCCTGACCCCGCAGTCCTCCATCGATCTGGGATCGGCCTCGCGGCCCCAGTTCCGCCTGACGATGGCCCGCAGAATCCACTCAACCGAAAGAGCGACCACCCCTGTGCACGACCGTCGGGACCAAGTTCAGACGGGCTGGGCGAGGCGACAGCCTGTGGAATCCAGCTCATCTTGACAAGGTGCGATGAAAAACAAGTCGAATGTCTGACGGCAGAGATGGGCAGGAATAGGCGGGTTGGGGAGAGAGAGTCCGCAGTGTCGGCGCGTTGGTGAACGCGCGAACTGAACTGAACTGCACGGCACCTGAACTTTCTGTCGACATCATATGGGGCGATACATGTGACTGCGAGGAAGTCCCAAGCGAAATCGCCACTTCCTGAGAATTTTGCCGATGAAGTCCTAGGCGGAATCGCCATTCTCTGTTTGTCAGAGAAAGTCTCCGGTTGCTCCGACAAGCAACCTGGCAGTTTTTTTTTGAGGAAGTATTGGGCGGAATCGTGATTCTCCGGTCTTCACCCCAATTGACGATTGTAGAGGATGGAGGGGCCAGAGAAGTGAATCGCGATCCAGGCCAATTTTTCTTCCAAACACACTCTACGGCCGCCTCTCTGTGCGACCGGAGAACCCGTTGGCTGGGCTCTGCACTTAGTGGGCCTTGGAAACGGCAGGGCCGTTTTTTTTACCGTTTTCGAAAAAGTGTCTCTTGAACATGGAAACGGTGAAAAAACGGCGACCGGAAACGGGAAAAAAACGGCAACGAAAACGGCTCAAAAACGGCGACGGAAAATTGCATTTGGCGAGGGCAGATCAGGGCGACGCACGGAACCGGTTCGGAGCCGGTTCGGAACCAGTAAAAAAACTGTGATCTGGCAGAGGGGCCCACCCGGGAGTCGGAAACGGTAACAAAAACGGCAGTCGGAAACGACAAAAAAACGGCGACGGAAACGACAAAAAAAGACGCCAGAAACGACACAAAAACGGCAAAACGAAAACGGTAAAAAAACGGCCCTGTCGTTTCCAAGGCCCACTAAGGCTCTGCAACGTTGTACGGGGGCCCCGGGGCCGAATGGGATCATGGTGCCACATCTTCCGCGACCTCTCCGGCCCGCACTTTTCAGTCCAGCGGAATTGTAGTTGTTCGCGCCAGACGCGCGCCTCCAGAGAGGACGCGTGGTACCCGCATGTCCGTGCGCGCGTATCGCGGATCTCTTGGCATCGCTCGGACGTGTGCATTTTTTGTTCTGCGAGGACCGTCGAGGAGCATCCTTGATCATTTGGCGAAAAAAAAAAGCACGCACGAAAACGAAAAAACACAGGGAATGGACGTCCGAGCGATGGCGAGAGAGAGGACACGTGGCACCCGTATGTCCGTGCGCGCGTATCTCGGCTCTGCTCCTTCCCCCCAACGACCGAAGGCTCCCCTCGGGGGCCGCGCGCCTGCCAGGGCCGCGGGCCTGCCGCGGCCGCGCGCCAGCGTCGCGCGCCAGCGGCGGTGCGGCCCCGAAGGGCGGCCATCGCCCGCGGCCGCGCTCCCGCGACGCGCGCGCAGCGGGGGCGCGCGGCGCGTCGCGTCTCGCGCGCAACGATTTTTTCCAGACTCGATGCGGGTACAGTGCAACATGCGTGCCGCTACAGCACGGCCCTCCCGTGGGGCCTCGGAGGCACCCAGCTGCGGAAGTGGGGGGAGGCGCTGCGGCAGCAGAACCCGTCTCTCCCGCCTGTGCTACAGCTAAGATCCGACGTGGCGAAAAAATGCGACGTCATGAAAATTCGCGCCCGGAGCCCTAGACCCCGGCTTTCTGCGCCAGTCCTCGGGCCAGCTCGACCTAGTGAGGGCCTCCGGGCCCGAACAAGAAGGGCGCAGACGCCCGGCTCGAAACAATAGACTCGCCAGGCTCTCAGGGTATGTCTTGGGTGCCGCTGGGGGTCAGAGATGGGCCTCCTCTATCTTTGGGTCACCCAGGGGTCCGTCAACTCGGTTCTAACACTTGGTCCGTCAGCACGACCCCCGTTAAAACCATGTAGGACCAAAGAAAAACCTTTGCGCCAGGTATACCGTATACCCGTGCCCCGCAGCAGGAGTGGGCGGCGCTGGGCTGGCGCCGCGGCCGCCCGCCGCGCCCCCGCCGCACCACCTCCTCACCGGCGACTCCCCGTCCGGCCCCAGCGCCGGGGCGGCGCGCGGGCGCGGGAAGGGAGGCGCCGCCCGGCGCCCACCGGCAGCCCGAGCGAGGGAGGGCAGAGGGGCGGCGGCGGGGGCGTGGCATCGCTCGGGCGCTCGAGTAGGGGATCGACTTAGGGGAACAAAAAGTGACATAAACATAAAAACTCGGAGGTGCGCGGAGCGCGCCAGGGGCGGCGCCGGAGGTGCCGCGGGGGGGACCCAGCGCCGATCCGAGAAATCCGCGCGGACCTCCGAGTGTTTATGTTTATGCCACTTTGTGTTCTCCTACGACTGCAGAAGTGGTTTGCCCAGCATGGGCTTCCTTTGTCAAGTCCACGGGCAGTGCGTAGAATTGTCGCAGATCTACGGATGGTTGACGTGTTTTTGTGGAAGAGTCGACGTGGAAATTAAGTCTGGGGTAGCTCGATTCTGTAGTCGATCCCCCAGTCGAGGCGTGTGCATCTGATGTCTCGAGGAGCATCCTGGATCATCCGGCAAGAAGAACACGCACGAAGTCGACACGTGCACGGGGAGTGGGCGTCCAAGCGATTGCAAGAGGGGGGTCTGCATTAGTCGAAGGAGGGAACAACGCCATCAACGTAAACTTTTGTCAGGAGGGGAAAAAACACACAGACACAATTAATCGGCGATTCCCAGAAAATATGGGAAAGTATGGGAAGTGGGGGGGAAGACGAAAACCCAGAAAATATGGGAAAATATGGGGGATATTTTTATTTGTGTGTATTTATTTGTGTGTCCCAGTTCCCCTTCATTTTGGCGCTCCGCGCGGATTTCTTGGATCCGCGCTGGGCACCCCTCCCTGGCGCGCGGAGCGCGCCAGGGGCGGCGCCGGAGGCGCACCGCACGGTTTTGGGCCTCAGGTCGTTCTCCAAGGATGTCTGGGGCGACTGGGGCTTCCAGGGTTCCAAAACCGTGTGGTTATGGATCCTGCAATGAGGTCTTTGGTTAAGTCGGGCCTGTCCCTCTACACGAGGAAGATTCAAACATAGCCGAAAATAGTATGGGCACGATCTTTGGACTATTTCTTGATTATTCCAGGGGTATTGTTTTGTTTCGTACTTTTGATGTTTCGTCCAAAATCCGCCTGTAGGAGGATGTGCCCGACCTAAGTCTTTGTGGGGATTGCGAGGTCACCGCCGGAGGTCTGTCACGCCACGGTCTTGTGGGACCCCCGAGAGACAGGGGCAGCGGTGATTCGGGAGGGATTGGCACAGGACGGCGAGCGAGGGGGGGGGGAGAAGTGAAGGACGAGGCCTTCTCGAATCAGTATCGTTTAACCGATCCCCATTCCCCATCCCCATCTCGTTTGACACCCCCACCAGATTGACACCCCAGTTGGGGATACACCCCTCGAAACCCGAAGGGAACGGCCGATATCCCCATCTAGGGGGGTAAATCGGCCAGTGGGGCCCAGGCCACGCCGCTGGGGATGGGGATCAGTTAAACGATACTCATGTGAAATGTGGCGGGGCTTCTCAGAAGTCCTCCTGCCTTCTGAGAGCCGAAGACGGAACAAATATAGATATACAGTTTTGGCGCTCCGCGCGCATTTCGTGGATTCGCGCCGGGCTTCCGCCAGCGGCGCCTCCGTCGCCGCCCCTGGCGCGCTCCGCGCGCCAGGCAGGGGGGTCCAGCGCAGATCCAAGAAGTCTGCGCGGAGTGGCAAAAGTTTCTAGTTATCAGTTTCTTCTTCTAGAGAATTGTGTCTCCGGGGAAGACTTAGAAAACTTATCAGAAGGCCAGGGGGACTTCCCAAGCCTTTTGAGGAGGCCCGCCACTCCTCACTACCTTTTCCGCGCTCGCCACCAGAAAATGGGGGCACATCGACCTGGAATCGGCGATGCGTCGCCGATGGATCGACGACAGGCCCCCGATAGTGAGTCCGTGCGTTCCTGGGCAGGTCGCGGCCATCGGGCCCCTAGCAGCGATCAGAGGGCGATTGGGGGTCGATGCCCCCCCCCCAAAATGCCCATCCCCCCCCTATCGTTGCCCTTGAGGGGATGGGAAGAGGGGAGCGGTTGGCGGGCACGCGGGCCAGAGCAGGTCACGGGGACAGGGTCGATGGCGATGGCCCGCCATGGCAGGCCAGCCACAACTGGGGGAGCTGTGGTCCTTACCCCCCTGGGGGACCCATCGATTTCGACACCCCTCTCGAGAGATCGTCGACGCGATGGGTTCCCCCAGAGGGGTAAGGACCACAGCTCCCCCAGTTGTGGCTGGTCTCCATGGTGGAGCAGGGTCCTGAGGGAAACGGGTCCTCAGGTTTTGCGCCGTTTTCGGGCTCTCGGGGCCCTGCACGGGCCCCAGGACGGTCAGAAAACGACTCAGGAGGAGGAGGAGGAGGACAGAGGAGGAGGAGGAGGAGGAGGAGGAGGACAGAGGAGGAGGAGGAGGAGGAGGAGGAGGAGGAGAGCGAGGAGGAGAAGGAGGAGGAGGACAGAGGAGGAAAAGGAGGAGGAGGAGGAGGAGGAGGAGGGGGAGGAGGAGGAGGAGGACAGAGGAATGACAGCGGAGGCCCGGGGAAGGCCCGGGGGCCCAGGACCCGTTTCCCGCAGGACCCGTCTCCCCCATGCGAAGGGGAGCGGTTGGCGGGCAATCGGGCCGGCCAGAGCAGGTCACAGGGACAGGGTCGGTGTGGATGGTCTCAGCTTCACGTGAGGATCGTTCGTCGTCAGGGCCGGCAGGCTTCCATGCTGCCCGGCGCCCCCCACTGCACCACCCGGTCAAGATGGGGTGCAGCCAGCGACGGAGAGTCCGGGAGGGAACGCGACACGTTACACTCAGGAGGGGAAAAAACACACAGACACAATTAATCGGCGATTCCCAGAAAATATGGGAAAATATGGGAATTGGGGGGGAAGACAGAAACCCAGAAAATATGGGAAAATATGGGGACTATTTTTATTTGTGTGTATTTATTTGTGTGTCCCAGGGCCCCTTCATACACAGGAGGAGGAATTTGGCGGTCAGTGTTGATGGTTTTGTTTTGTAGTGGTTGGCATGTTTAGTCGGAGTGAGGGCCGAACGGTCTCACGCAGTCCCCGGGCGCGTGGCTGCAATGTGGTTCCGCGGTGCAGGTTCTTCGCTCCTCACGTTCCTTCATCTCCTTCGCCCCCTCCTACTCGAACACATCAGATAAGTAAGCGTTTCGCTCGAGACCTCCCCCTTGCAAATGCTTGTGAGGAGGTCTTCTAAAACGTACCAGAGCCTCTTCCTCCTGTGTGTGTGCGTGTGTGTGTGTGTGCCTTCGGACGGGCCTTCGCACACATCAGATAAGTGAGGGATCGCCGGACGACATTGGAGGCGTACAGAGAAGTGAGGAGGATAATCAGGACTCTCCTTGTGGACGTTCGGGGAGCGCGTGTCCGTAGGCATCCCCTGTAGACGTTCGGAGAGCTCGCCTACATCACATTTTATCGTGATGATGCTGCACGTTCTTGCGCAGCTCTGTTCTTTCACGCGCTTCCCGTTCATGTCAGGAAAGGTTCTGTCTGAGGCGCACGTGTGCATCAGTCGAGTCGCCCAGCAGGCCTCGCAAGCTACTCGCAGGAGCCATTGCCGACGCCGAGAATCCAGAAGAGCTGCCACGCGGATCGACCATCGCGTTCGAATAAGTTGCCCAGCGACGCTGTAGCGTGGCATGGCCGTAGTATCCCATGACTTTTACGTCGCCTTTTGACGGCCTTTCGGGTGCCTTTTGGGGAGCCTGTTGGGGCCTCGTTCGAGCCAATTGTGGGCCTCGTTGTGCCTGCCGGAGCTCGTTGGGGCCCTGTGGGAGTATGGGGCCGTCTTGTGGGTCTCAGGGCCGTGAGGGGTGGCCTCGGGGCTGACCTTCGGGTCTGTAGGGGCCGTCTGAGGCAGCATTGGGGCCATACGTATTGGGCTGGTGTGGGCCAAACGGCCATCCACGGGCTTCCCACCAAAGGCACCCTGAGGCCGTGCTGGGTGGCAAGGCACACTCTTTGGGTTTCCCGAGCCTCCTGGACTCCTGAGAAGATACTCGGGTTGTCTTCAGGTGTCTTGTGGCCGTGTTGGGACGGTCAGGAGGCAGCCGTGAGTCAGTTTTCGTCAGGTGGAGCCGTCTTGGGCGGATCTTCAGTCGTCTTGGGGCCAGCGGAGGGGAAGCCTGGAGAGCGGGGGGTTGCTCTGGGCGGGGCCCATGACGCCACGTCGAGACCTGATCGGAGCGCACAACGCTCAAGGGCTTCGAGCCGAAAATGGTGCCAGGCTCGACGCGAAGGGAGCGGTGGACCGCTGCCTCGCAGGGAGGACATCGACGCACCAGCAGCGGCAGAGCGGGCTGACGGCTCCTGTGCTCCACGGGGCGGGGCGATGAGGAGGTGCACTTGGAGTCCCGAAACGGTGCGGTGACAGACCGTGCGGTGACCTTCCCGCACGGTCCGTCAACGCATGGTTCTGTGACCTCGGTGACCCCGAATTCCCACCGACTCCCTGAAGGGGGCCCCGAAAGGTGCGGCAGATAGGGGGCCACATGCGAACCTTACCCCTACCCCCCACGATTTCTGAAGGCGAGGGTGGGGTTCACTTCGTTCGGGAGCTCACGAGCGAAGTGAACCCCACCCTCCCCCTTACAAATCGTGGGGGGTGGGGGTAGGGTTCGCATGTGGCCCCCTAGCAGATCCCGAAAGTGCTGGCTTCACGGACGCCCCCGTCGGGTCCGCGCAGGCGCGCCCCCGGGCCGCGCGCGCCCGGTGCGCCCGCTGCTGGGCCTGTTTTTTTCCACTGCCACCAGAAGCTGGAGGAGGAGGAGGAGGAGGAGGAGGAGGAGGAGGAGGAGGAGGAGGAGGAGGAGGATCGAAGAGGAAAAGCGCTATACACATACACTTTTGGCGCTCCGCGTGGATTTCTTGGATCCGCGCTGGGACCTCCCTGGTGACCCCTCCGACGCCGCCCCTAGCGCGCTCCGCGCGCCAGGGAGGGGGGTCCGGCGCAGATCCAAGAAATCCGCGCGGAGCGCCACAAGTTTATGCTTAAGGCTTTTTCTCTTCTTCTAGAGGAGGGGGAGGAGGACCCCTCCTCCTCCTTCCTCCTCCTCCTCCTCCTCCTCGTCCTCCTCCTCTCCTCCTCCCCCCCCTTTCCTCGAAAAGAAGAACAGTGGAAAACGGAAAGAGGAGGGAGGAGGAGGAGGAAGAGGAGGAGGAGGAGGAGGAGGAGGAGGAGGAGGAGGAGGAGGAGGAGAGGAGGAGGAGGAGGAGGAGGAGGAGGAGGAGGAGGAGGAGGAGGAGGAGGAGGAGGAGGAGGAGGAGGAGGAGGAGGAGGAGGAGGAGGAGGAGGAGGAGGAGAGAGGAGGAGGAGGAGGAGGAGGAGGAGGAGGATATGGGGATATGAGGATATGGAGGGAGGAGGAGGACCCCCCCCTCCTCCTCCTCCCTCGAGGGCCCCCTCCTATTTTCTGGTGGCGGTGGAGAGCAGGCCGGCGCCCGCGCCACGCCCGCAGAGCGGCACGGGGCCATGCCGGCGCCCGTGGGCCGCGCGGCCGCGGCCTGGGCCCCCGCGGCGGCGCCGCTCTGTCGCTGGCAGCCGCGGGGCGTCCCGGTGCCGGCGCCGCGGCCGCGGCCGCGCCCCTGGCCGCCAGTCGGGGGCGGCCCATAGGGGGGTGATGACTACCGTTGGGCAGGGATCGACCGTCCCGGCATGGCTAGATCGGGTATAGCCAGGGCCCCGGGTAAGGGGACCCGGTTAGTGGTAGGACCCTGGGGCCCTTCAATTGGCCAGATTCACTAAACCAGGTTTGCCGTGGTGTTTTTCGGGAGACGGCAGTTCCGGTTCCCCGGTACACATCAGTAAACCAGGTTCTTTTAAACCCAGTTCTGCCAACACCTGGCTATAGTCCTACCACGAAATTCTCCTTAGAACCCCCCAATATTCTTAGAACATAGGGCCGGTGTGAGAAAACAAGACAGACTCCGCGAGACATGTTCTAAGAACATTTCGTGGAAACCACAAATGGTTCTTAGAGCATTGTTTGGAAAGGCTATAGGCGAGCCAGGACGCTTCGCCACTGCTTGGTATCGGGGGACCCCAATCGGGGTGGTGACCACACCGTGTGGTGAGTCGGTGGAGATTCGGGGTCACCGAACTGTTTTGGGACTCGGGCCGTTCTCCCAGGACGTCTCGGGCGACTGAAGCCTCCAGGGTCCCAAAACCGTGCGCTGTCGGACCGTTTCAGGACTCCAAAGACTAGGGGGGGGGTGGATATCATGGCGGGGGCCATGATATCTCCTAAGATTTCATGGCGCCTCTTCCTGTTTCATGACATCCCTGGCCGCCCCGCCCCTGGGCCGCGCACATGCCGCTGGCCATGGTTTCGGCCCCCCCCTCTTGGACGCCCCCCTCTTTGGCCGCCCCCGGTCCAGGGGGCCTCGGTCGCCGAGGCCCAGCAGCTGCGCGCCGCAGACCCTCCCTGATGGGCCAATCTTCCACAGCCGCTGCCAGATGTAGGATGAAGAGGTCCTCCTTCTCTTCCTGCTCCTGCTGCTCCTCCTCCTCCTTCTCCTCCTCCTTCTCCTCCTCCTCCTCCTCCTCGTCCTCCCCCTCCTACATAGGGTAGTGGTGGTGGAACATGGGCCCATCACTCCCCGTCGCTGCGGCGGGCTGCCGTGGCCGCGAGGACGCCTCCCGCGCCCAGGGTCGGGCTCTTCACGAGGGAGGATCCGTGGCGACTGCACGCCGTCCTGGGCTTCGCGTGCTTCGCCCACGGCGTGGTCAGGATAGCATTAAGTCGGGCCTGTCCAACTACAGGGGGATTTTCGACGAAAAATAAAAAATACCCAACAAAAATATCAGACAATAGTCCAACAATAGTCCGGGGACTTTTTTTTTTTTTTTTTTGTTCCTCCCCCTGGGGTACTTTTTTGGGGTATTTTTTTTTTTTGTCATCGAAAATCCCCCTGTAGGGGGACACGGCCGACATGAGGATAGCAGTGCTGCTCCGCGGCGTGCCCGACATGGGCTTCCGCGGCGACGCGGGCAGCCTCGCGTGCCTGGCGGCCCACGCGGCGTTGGGCGCCACCGCCTTCCGCTTCCGGGTGCCCAGGAGCAAGAGCAGGTCCGGCACGCAGATCTGGCAGGAGTACCGCGAGCACACCCCGAAGAGGACAAAACGCCATAAACATAAACTTTTGGCGCTCCGCGCGGATTTCTTGGATCCGCACTGGGGCCCCCCGGGCGGCGCCTCCGTCGCCGCCCCTGGCGCGCTCCGCGCGCCAGGGAGGGGGGTCCGGCGCAGATCCAAGAAATCCGCGCGGAGCGCCAAAGTTGAAGTTCATGTTCTTTTTTCTTGTTCCAACAACGCCGTCTTCACGGCCCGAGCACTGGCTGGTTGCTTGGCCGCATGGTTGGAGGCCCGCTATGGCTTTGCACAGCTGTTGTGGCTGCGCGCAGGAGCCCTCTACGCCCAGTTGTTTGCTGTGGATGCCATTTCTAAGAGGCACAACATGCGTACGACTACTTTGGCTGCCGTGTCCAGCCCACGGCTGCGGCTTTTCATGGCCACCTTCCAGTTCTTCGCCACTGCCAACTTGCTTTTCGGTCGTGGATTCTGGCAGCAGTTCTGCGTCGTCTTCGCCGTGCAGGTCACTGCTTTCTTCATGACCCTGAACAGGCGTCGGATCATATCACCCAGGCTGGTTGTCGTCTTTTACGTAGGTCTCCTGCTGGCTGTGAACCAGCTGGTCATGGCAGAACTGTTTGTGCAAAGAGACTTCACAGTTCTGATTTGCGGCGCTCTCGCATGCTTTTTGAGATGCGGCTTGCATTTGAATAAGTATTTAGTATGGACGCTTGTGCTACTCGCTCATGCAGCGCGTGCCAGTCTTGGGTAGAGCTTGATCATGACTCAAACATATCGAAGTCTATAATACTACTCTTACGGAAGAGTGAATCGGCCTCTCTTCTTTTGGATGGTTGAAGTGTTTATCTCGTGTGGCTTTGGCAAGCCCGTGTTTCCCAATCCATCTGAACTAGTGTCAGTATTTTCTTTTACCCATGGAGCAGGAGAAACATAATAGTTGAGTGCGCACCCCTTGTTCCACCCTCCTCGCCTCCCATTCTTGTCACACACTCCATATTGTTCTCATCATCTCCCATTGCAACATCATTATGATCATCACCTCGCTACCCTCATCATCAATCAGAACCAGTTGCCCTAGCCAGCCTGACCAGCCAGCCAAATCAATCAAAAGGATCCAACCTGCCAACCAGCCCAACTAGCCCAACCAGCGAGCACGCCACGCAGCCAACTCGCCCACCCCGCCGCCTCCCATCTGCCACCGCCGAGTGGGTGGAAGAGTTCCATGCAGACGTTTGATGATTCTGGAAGTCGTTCCGGAAGAGGGAGAAGGATTGGTTGACTATTTTTTATTGGTTCTTTCACAATGCGCATGGAGAAGGACATGCCCGACCTAAGAGTAGAGAGTTGAGCAGTAATCTCAGTCATTTCTGTCCCTGCTGCATTTTGACTGTCGAGTCCCAAACATCTGCGCGACTGTCAGTGTCACTTGCGCTTCAATCCTGCTGTGTGCGCTGGTTCCCGGCAGGGGTCGGCAGAACGCGGCCAATCAACTGACTCGCTCTCGGTGATGGTGTATGTTTTGCGCGCAATGTCGAGCTTGGCTGTTCGCCTGTCGAAGGCCTGATTCCTGAGGAGGAGGAGGCGGTGGCGGCGAGCTGCTGCCGAACTTAGCGTATCGCCGAAGAGACCACCAATTTGCAGTAAATTACCCTTCTACTGTGTTAGTGGGGCATGAGGAGAGGGGAAGGGTGAGGGAGGCCTTGACGATAGGTGGATGGAGAGCACGAGCGGGAGGAGGGGGGGGGGATGTGGAGGAGGAGGAGGAGGAGGAGGCGGAGGAGGAGCAGGAGGAGCTGGAGGAGGAGGAGGAGGAGGAGGAGGAGGAGGAGGAGGAGGAGGAGCAGGAGCAGGAGCAGGAGCAGGAGCAGGAGGAGAAGGAGGAGGAGGAGGAGGAGGAGGAGGAGGAGGATGAGGAGGAGACAGAGGAGGAGGAGGCAGAGGACGAGGATGGAGGACGAGAGAGATGCAGAACCATGCTGGCGAGGCGCTGCCGGCAAGGGCCTGGCGTCCTCGCCCGGCGACGGCCCGGGCCACGGGGCTCCCGCGGGCCCGCGGCCGGGCCGCGGCAGAGGAGCCGAGGGGGGCCGCGGGGGGGCGCCGCGGCGCCGCGTGGCGCTGCTGCGGAGGGCCTGGGCTTCTGCCCCTCTCGCCGCTCCCCCGCCTCCCCTCGTTATGAGGAAACTCCTGGAGCCCTCGCGCGGCGCGTAATAGTAGTATGATTTAGTCCACGTGTCGGTTCCGTAAGTTCTGGGTCGACGCTCGTGCGGCGATGCCCCGGCGTCAGTCCGACGTAGATCCGACATAAGTCCGACGTAGTCCGACGCGAACCCGACGTAAATCCGACGTGGATCCGACGTAAATCGGGCCTCAAGTTGCTGCGCGAGGCCTCCAGGATTTTCTTCATAACCCTCGGGTATAGTGCAGTCGGGCACGCCCCTCTACAGGAGGAATCTTCAGACATACTTTGAAAACAAGTGGAGGCTTCTCTATGTGAAGGAGGCTGCTGGCGGGAAGCCTGGGGGGTCACCCCCCCTCCTCACTACCGGTTCGAACCCCTCCCCCCCCCAGTCCATCATAAAAATGAGGGGGGGTCACTACCGGTTCGAACCCCCCGCCCCTCGAAAACCAGGGGCCCCCGCCGTTCAGATTTGTACGCATAGTTTATGCAAACTGTTCTTTGACATGGATGGTTGGCGGGGGGGCTGCATGTATGCCTTCGTGCGTCCGGGTTGGCGGCCAGTGGGGTGGGGGAGGGGGTGTTTCTACATAGGGAACAGTGAAAGACCCCTCCCCGAATGGGCGAATAATGGCTTTGAAGAGGGAAGAGCAAACGTGTTACGTATTCCACCTGCGCGAAGGGTTGGTGGGATTATTCTTGTCGTCGTTGGCCTCCTCATTATCAATCGTCAGCATCACTATCGCCATGGAGGCATTCGTATCTTGAGCACCGCCGCCCTGTCCGAGGGACCGCCCATTTCTATGCGTTGCCGCCCCCTTGGGGGGAAAAACACTCGTGTCTACCTCCCTTCACGCCGTCAGGGGGGGCCATGCTCTTTGATGCGCTTCCCCCGAGGGACTGCCCATTTCCATTCGGCTACGCTCGCACAAATGTGGCAGTTGTACACATCCCATCACCCCGTCGAGAGGTCTGTCACCAGTCTCATCATCATCGAGGTTGTTATTATCATCATCATCATCATCATCATCATCATCACCATCTTCAGAATTTCGCCATCATCATCATCATCATCGTCATCATCAGTATCATTATGAGCATCGCGTTCACGTCTTGCGTAGATCCTTCTAGCAGCCTGGCGCCCGCTCTACCTGCTCGGGTGGGTGGGACATCCCAAACAGGCCCAGGGGCGTGCCCAACGAGGGGTACGCCTCGTTCTACAAATCCCGGTCCAATGACTGGGGAAACCACATGGCCGCGAAACACTTCAGCGTGAAGGACCAACTGGAGTTCCGCGCGCTGCTCGTCGTGCCGCGCCGGGCACCCTTTGACTTTGCGAGTCCAAGGAGAGCGCACCAACGTTAAGTTGTTCGTGCGACGCGTCTTCATCATGGACGACCGCAGCGAGCTGATACCCGAGTGGCCCAACTTCGTTCCGAGCACACTGTATGACCACCGCCAACAAGATTTGTTGGTGGAGTTGTGCTCTGGTGCCTTGGTAGAAGACCCGCAGGCCCCCTCCCGCCGCAAACGTTAACCGGGCTGCCCCCTCCTCCCTTAGGGACCGAAGCAGAATTCATCAAAACGCGCGGTGGCGGTGTATACAGTTTCATCCACCCAGTCGTGCCGTTTCTGCTTCAAGAGCTTCCCTACCACGGCGCCCGCGCGCCGCGACGCGCTTCTTTTCGCCGCGGGGTCGCAGCGTCGTCTGGCGTAACCCTGCCCCCAACCGTTTTTGCGATGCATCATTGTCGCGGGCGGTGGTGGTGTATAAAGATTGGCCTCGCGTTCGCGAAGGGCGAGGTTTGCACCCAGGACCTGCCGATGAGCATCCCCCGTGATGCGCTGCAGCAATACAAGATCTTGCGCGCGATCAAGAATAATATCGTCGAGAAGTCCCTCGGGGTGTTCGTGGATGTCACCGAGAAAAAAGGATGACGATGAACAGATCTACGAGCAGTTTGGGAAATGCCTCGAGCTGGGCGTGCACGGGGATTCCACCAGCCGTACCAGGGTCGCGGAGCTTATACGCTTGCATTTTCGTCCGACAGCGCACTCGTGTTGACCCCCCCGACACCCTGTCAGGGGAAGGGGGAGGGCATCCTTCTCCTAGACGGTGCCGCTTTGTCCGAGGGGCCACTTTTCCCGATGTGCCGCCGCGCCCACAACAGGAGGGGGACGATGATGATGATGAGGAGGAGGAGGAGGATAAGAAGGAGGAGGAGGAGGAACCTCACGAGTTCCGAAGACAGAAGGATAATAATGCATATGAAGTGGATGACAGGGGATGCGGCGCAGAGGAGGCGGGGATGGAGGAGGAGAAGAAAAGGACCGCGAGCAAGGGGAGGATGAAAGGATCGTGAACGAGGGTCGGTGTAGAGAGGAGCTGATGTGCATAAAGATGCCGTTCAATGTCTGGCTCGTCGTCCCTGTGGCCATCGCCGTATATTTCACGTTCCTTCACGATATGAATGTATATTGATTGGATCGTTCCGACTGAGGTCATCACGAACCGAATGCCAACGTCAAAGGGGGCAAACAACGTCGGGAGGGAGGGGAGTAATGACAACGGGAGGAGGGAGGAAACGCGGCGGCGCCTCAAACAACCGAACGGCGTGAGTCTGGCCCCAAAACGTCAAACGAACACAGCTACTCTCGGAAGCGTTTGTTGGTTGTCCCCCCTGCAGGAGCGCTGGCGGCCCCAGTTCCGCGGAGACCCCACGCGGCCGCGGCTTTCAATGGCGCGGCCGCGAAAGGTGGCTGCGGCAGGGGGCCCGGCCAGGGACAGGCCCGGCGCTTTCAGCAATCGATTCGCTCGGGAGCCTTGAGACGGGGGTCAACGCAAACGGGGGTCAGCCAGAGCGCCCCGGCCTTGCAGGATCCTGCAGGGCCAGGGTCGCACTGACCCGGGTTTGGGTGCAGGATCCCGCAGGATCTTGCAGGCTCCCTCGCACTGACCCGGGTCTGGGTGCAGGGTCTTGTAGGATCTTGCAGGATTCTGCAAGGCCTGGCTGACCCGGGTCTGGATTGACCCGGGTCAGAAGATCCCCGATTCGCTCAAGCAGCGGGTCGTTTCGGGCTGTTCACCCACAGGAATACTTTCGCACAGTCGCGCGGCGCAGCGTGTTGTGCCACGTGGTGGCGTAATCTTTTGTGGTTGGATGTGTCATTCCGTTATGCATGGTCACCGGAGCGCGCGCATTATCCGGGTGACGGTGTCACAGTTTCGGCAAACATGAAGCGAACAATCGATGGATGGGGACATAGGACAGGGGGGGCGCGGCGGGGGTGTGGCTTGTGTCCAGTTTTCGAATCAGGGGGGGAGGGTGGGCGCCAGCTGGACAGGGTCCCTTTGTTTTTGAGTTTAGTCTCCTCGCCAGGGGCCGCTGGGGGTGTCGATGTTGCTGCCCATCGTGGAGGCCCTCCTGGGGGAGGGGAAGGACGGCGTAACGAGCATGACGAGGAAGAGGAGGAGGAGTATAAGGAACAACAGCTGCAGTGGGAAAGCGACGACAACAAAGGCGATGACAAAGACAGCACCAGTGACACCAAGCCAACGACTACGATGGAGACAAGGACTAGACGGACGACGACAGTGGACTAGGACGAATAGTGAGGACTCACGAACAAGTGCGAGGACAAGGAGAGGAGGAGGACGATGCTGACCACAAGGAACATTAGTGGAGGAGGAGTGTAATGTCGGGATGAACGCGAGAACGGGATATCAGAAGGAGGAGCAGGAGGGAAGCGGAAGGCATGATGGCAGCAGGGCGGAGGTCGGCAACGGAGCGCAGGATGGCGGACGGGAGGACAGGGAAATGAGGTCATGGTGAGAGCGGGGGAGATGGAGTGTTCCTGCTAGTGTCCCTCCTGCGCGAATGCTCCGAGAAGGGGGGGCATTGCGCCGTTGCGCGCCCTACCCTTCCACGCAGCAGGTGGACCCCGCCGCAACACTCACGCACACAACTGGAGTTTCCATCGCCGCCCATGCTACTTGCAACATGTTAGCCAGCGTAGTCCCCAAACAGCGTGCTGGTACCAATAGATGTTATGCAAACTATGTGGTGCAATCCATGTAGCGTGCAGTGTTTGTGCTGCAATATATTTGTGGTGTGATTTATGTGGCACGATCTATGTGGAGCAAGTAACTTTGATTCGCAATGAGTAGTGAACTCCACCGCTCGCGCAATCATCCCCCGCCCGCCCGCCATATGGCGTGAAAGCCCATGCGGCGGCGCTTGCGACGAATGTTTGGCGCTGGCAGGTGCGCCGCTGCGGCCGCGCTAGCTCGCGCAGGCTCGCGCGCAGAGTGTCCCCAGCTAGTCTGGCGCGACCGACGCGGCCGCGGTCGCGCTGACCGCTAGCGACTTCCCAGCGCGTCTCGCAAGCCGCGCTGGCGCGCGGGCACTTCACTGCGAGTTGGTGGCTCGGGCGCGGCACCATGGCCGCGTCGGCAACGTGTGGACACGAGGATGGTTGTAGCGGTGTTGGTGGCCACGGCGACGGCAATGACGGCGCGGTCGCCACGTAGTGGCGACCGCCGCGCCGTCGCCACGTAGTGGCGTCGCCGCGCCGTCGCGGTCACCGTCGCCGTCGCCACGTAGTGGCGACGGCGACGGTGAGGATGGCAACGGCAACGCCAATGACGGCGCCGATGCTGATTGCCGGTGGCGGTGGTGGTGTCCGCGCGGGGACGATGACGGTTGTGGACGGATTTCGGCATGCGCACGCGGTCAATGGGCGTGAATGCCCCGCGTGGTTTTCTTTGGCATGTAGCGTGCCACCCCCCTGCACGCGCGCAGGGGCGTTCGAAGTAGTTCGGCATGCGCCCGCAAAAAAAATGTTTGGCTACAGTTGGTGAACACTTTGGGAGTTCATGGTCTTCGCAAGGGAGAATTCGCAAGATCTCGTGCGCATCTTTTTTTTCACACAGTCACGTTGCGCAGCCATGCGGTTTCATTTGGTTTCACGACACTCGTCTGTTGCAGTTTTGCGATACCCGGGGGTTTTGAAAATGGTTTTCGGCGTGCGCGCGCGACGCCGCGCGCGTGCGCACTTCGCCCCAAAGCTTGCACGGGGTGATTGCAGACGGGTTGCTTTTCATCAGCGGGTGTGCCCGCATAGTCTGCTCCCAACCCGCCTGTGTTGGGTACTCGTTGGGTTAGAACATCGCTGTCGCCCACCCTCTTCTTTCCCCCCTCCGTCTGCCTCCTCCTCCCCTGCGCTGCTCCCTGGGTGGCTGCGGTCCGCGTAGCTGTCGCCACGCTCGTGGGCTCTTGGGAGGCACGGCGGGATCGGGAGAACCAGAGACCTCCCAGTTCTCGGGGTGGCTACGACTTGTGCGCAATTGTCGCGACTTTTGAAGGCCCCTGGGAGGCACGGCGTAGTAGAGGAGTACCCGCAACTTCGCTGCTCGCTGGGTGGCTGCGATCTGCACATCAGCAGCTTTTGCCGTGGACCCCTGAGAGGCGCGCCTTTCGTGCGCTCCTGGGGGGCACGTCGGACTAGGGGAGTACCCGACACCTCGCAGCTCCCTGGGAGGCTGCGAACTGAGCAATTGTCGCCACGTTCGTGGGCTCCTGGGAAGCACAGCGGAGTAGGGGAATACCCGAGATATGGCAGCTCTTTGGGTGGTTGCGAACTGCGCAATTGTCGCAACGCTCGCGGGCTTTTGGGGGAGTACCCGCCACCTCGCATCACCCTAGGTGGTAGCGCATTGCGCAAATGGTCGCCAGTTTCGTTGGCTCCATGGAAGCACGGCTCCTTGGGTGGCTGCGAACTGCGCAACTGTCGCACCTTTCGGGGGCTCTTGGAAGGCACGGCGGAGTAGGGGGGTGCCCAAGACCTCGCAGCTCCCGAGGAGGCTGCGTACTGCGCAACCGTCGCAATTTTCGTTGGCTCCTGGGAGGCACCGCGGAGTAGGGGAATGCCCGAGACCTCGCAGCTCCTTGGGAGGCTGCTAATTGCGCAAGTGTCGCCGCTTTGGTGGGTTCCTGGGAGGCGTGCCGGAGCAGGGGAGTGCCTGACACTTCGCAGCTCTTTGGGAGGTTGCGAACTGCGCAACTGCCCACATTCTCGTGGGTTCTGGGGAGGCACTCGCGGAGTAGGGGAGTACCCGGCACCTCGCAGATCCTTGGAAGGCTGCGAGGTGCACAATTGTCACCAGTTTCGTGGGTTCTGGGGAGGTCCAGCGGAGTTGGGGGCCACTCGGACCCAGCCGAGACTTTGCGGCTCCCTGGGGGGCCGCGAACTGCGCGCGGTTGTCGCCATTGACGTGGGCTCCTGGGAGGCACGGCGGAGACGAGGCAGCCCTGATCGTGCATATCTGGCGATGTTTTTTTTTGTTGAGTATGGAGCGTTCATGCAACAATCCGCCTCCTTGGGATAAGGGATAAGGGGGTGGGTACATCTTGGGTAATTTGCAGAGGATGGTGTGAGTGGCGAAGTTGGCCTGGTTAAGGTGGCGAGAGGCCATATTTTGAATGAACGTGTTTCGGCCGAACCATATGTACGTGGCACATCCCCTGGGGAATCGATACTCCCGCCTTCGGGGTGGTGGTGGATCCGGTTTCCTTCTTAGACATATGTGGGGCAACCGTTGTGGTGCAATATAAGTTGTTCAGTTTATGTGGTACAATCTATCTAGGTGGTGCGATATATCTTGTGCGACCGATGGTGTGCATTAGATGCGGGGTGGTCTGTACTGTGCAGCATGTATGGTCGTCCATCGGTAGTGCGCGATCTATATTGCGCAATCTATGTCATGAGATGAATGTGGTACCATCTAGGTTGTGCAATCTATGTGGTGCCGTTGATGGTGCGCAATTCATTTGTACAATGACATGCTCTTGCAAACATCCCACCCATCCACGCGCAAGTTGGCTTGCAAAACCCATGCGTTGGCGATTACGATGGGTGCTTGGCGTTGGCCTGTGCATCTTTGCGGCCGCGCTGTCCCGCGCATGCTTGCGCGCACAGCAGCCAGCTAGTTTGGCGCTGGTGGCGCTGACCGCTGGGCACCTACCAACGGACACTTCAGTGCGAGTTTGTGACTTGGGCGGGCGCGGTGTCACGGCGACGCGGGCAATGGTAGACACGATTCTGAGGGTAGCGGTGATGGTGGCCATGGTGGCGATGACGACGGCAAGGCCAATGACGGCGCCGTTGTTGATCACGCCCGCCGACAGCGTTGACGATGTTGTTGCGTCGGCGATGAAGGTTTTTGACGGAGTTCGGCATGCGCTCGCGGGCGACGCGCGCGAGTGGCCCGCAGTGTATTATTGGACGCGGATCGTTCACCCCACGTCTCCCCCCCGCACGCGCGCTAGGGCGGTCGAGTGGCCTCGGCTTGCGGCGACACAGGGCCGCTTGGCAGAATTACGTGAGCATGTGCGCGAAAAACGCAACACATGGTTTTCGCAAGAAGCCGCAAAAACGCGAGCTCACTTGTTTTGCTGGCTGATGCTGCAACGCCATGTGTTTTGACATGTTTTCGGTGCACTCGTTGTTCTGACATTCCCCACGCTCGCTGTTTTTCATTGAAGGATTCTGGCATGCACGCGCGACGACGCGCGCGCGTGCACTTTGTTCCATTTGTTTGGGGGAACGGGTTCTAGGCGCAGGGGCGTTCGAACGATTTTGACATATGCGCGCGCGCGAGGGGGGGCCGTTCCGAATCATTGTATGAACAGGTTAATCTCTAATATGTTAGTATATGTGTATAAATACCATATATATATAAGAACTATCAAAAACGCGTGGTGCATTTTTTGTTTTGAACGCCCGTTGCGAAACCGTGTCTTTCATTTGTTGGCGTGGCCGTCGATTTGAAATCGCGAAGCAGTCGGCGTTCTTGCATATGAAACACAGCATATGCGCGCGACGACGCGCGCGTGCACATATTGCTTTGTTTGTATGTTTTTTTCTCCATTTGCAAGGGGATTCTTGGACGCTTTTCGGATTTGGATAAAACGAGTGCGCGCGCACCTTGTTTTGCAGAGGCTGAGGAGGCTGGGTGCGAATTCCAGCCTTGCCGGGATGGTCGGAGTTTATATTGATTATGTACGATGGGGCAGAATCTCATGTAAATTTTTCATTCCGCAGGGGTTGCGATAAGTCTGGATTCGGGGCGGTGGGTCTTAAATCCTTTTTTTCGAAAGGAGAATCTACGTTGTGGAAGACATGTGGTGCAACCGAAGTTCTGTTCGCAGTGAGTGGCCAACTCCACTGCTCGCGCAATCATCCCACCCGCCCGCTAGCAACTGGGTAAACATAGCCCATGCGGCGGCGATTGCGATGACTGCTTGGTGTTGGCTGGTGCACTGTTGCGGCCGCGTTAGCCCGCGCATGCTCGCGCGCGCGGCGGCCAGATAGTTCGGCGCGGCCGACTCGGCCGCGGTGGCGCTGGCCGCTGGGCCCA